AGTTGTCTAGCACTCAGGATGGATGGAAACTCTAAGGTGGTGGTTTTCTTATATAATATAAGTTATATGGTAGACAGTCTGGTGCTGGAGATGCCGTGTGGTGAGGAGCTGCTCAGTAGACACGCCTGGTGAGAGTAGCTTGCTGGAAGGAGGAGATGTGCAGGAGCTTCTCAAGTAGGAGAAGATGTTGCCTGTTGTTGGCCTCCAGGTTGAATGAGAATGTGGACAGCAGGAGCTTGCTTGGGAGGAGGTGTTGCGTGTTCAGGAACCGAGGCCAGAATAAGAGAGCTGGTTGGTGAGGACGCTCAGAGAAGGACAGCTGGTGGGTCGCCATGCTCGCCAGCGGGAGCGAGGACTGCCAGGCAGGCGGAGGAGAAGCGAGGGCCACCAGGCAGCGGCGGAGGAGGAGGTGTTGCATGTTCAGGAACTGAGGCCAGAATGAATTTCAATGGAGAGACAGAGCTTATATACACAGCCGCCGGAAGTAAATCCGTGGGAAGTCGCCGGTTTCTTGACTCCGTTGCTAGGGAAGACGTGGCTGGTTGCTAGGATACTGTGGCATCTGGTGACGCCCCCCCTGGGCCGCTCGTTTGGTTGCTAGGATACTGTGGCATTGGAATGCGGCTACGCAGTTGTAGGGGAGACGTCCACTACAATACTCCCCCTTCCCTCCAGGCGGTGTAGGAGACTTGTTGTCTGCAGAGTTGCTTAGCACATGTGAGGCAGAACGGGCGGTGCATGCCTCATGTGAGACAACGGCGATGGCGTGGATGAGCCTGTCGCTGGATACAACTGTCTATATACACACTATCTGTCGGAGGAGAGAGGGAGAAAAAGGGTGTGTGGAGGCGATGAATGTTGTGCTTCCCTCATGAATGGTACAGAGTCGTCAGATGCGCCTGCTGAGGTGTGTGGGCCTGGGTCAGGAGCAGGGGCTGCGTCAGCAGAAGCGGATGAGGGCTCGTGACAGCAGCTGGGTCCACGACAGCAGCAGGGTGCAGGACATTAGCAGGGAGTACCTGAGGGAGAAAAGAGGGGTGTGTGGAGATAGAAGCCTCACGGCAGGTACAGAGTCGCTGTGATGCGCCTGCTGGGGTGTGTGGGCCTGGGTCAGGAGCAAGGGCTGCGTCAGCAGAAGCGGATGAGGGCTCGTGACAGCAGCTGGGTCCACGACAGCAGCAGGGTGCAGGACATTAGCAGGGAGTACCTGAGGGAGAAAAGAGGGGTGTGTGGGTCCGCACTCAGGAACAGAGGCCGCGTCAGGGGCGTCAGGGGCGGCAGGGGTTACTGCTGGGCCGGGTTCGGCGTCTGAGGCAGGACGGGTGTGCTGGGGTAGGTAGGATGTGGTGCTTGGGGCAGGAAGAGGAGCTGGTGTCTGCTTAGAGTAGCAGAGCTGTTTGTGGATAAGCCAGTCTTCTATGCTGCTTGAAGACTGGGAGCGTGATCAGTTTCCCTCCATCCTGTGTGAGTGCGAATCGAGTCACCATTTGTAGGGTTTCAGGAGATAAGCCAGTCTTCTATGCTGCTTGAAGACTGGGAGCGTGATCAGTTTCTCCTCCATCCTGTGTGAGTGCGTTTTTCCGGGGGTCACCATTTGTAGGGTTTCAGGATAAGCCAGTCTTCTATGCTGCTTGAAGACTGGGAGCGTGATCAGTTTCTCCTCCATCCTGTGTGAGTGCGTCACTCCACTCAGGATGGATGGAAACTCTAAGGTGGTGGTTTTCTTATATAATATAAGTTATATGGTAGACAGTCTGGTGCTGGAGGTGCCGTGTGGTGAGGAGCTGCTCAGTAGACACGTTTGGTGAGTAGCGTGTTGAAGGAGGTAGATGTGCAGGAGCTTCGTTAGAAAAGATGTTGCCTGTTGCTGGCCTCCAGGTTGAATGAGAACGGGACAGCGAGGAGCTTGCTTGGAGGAGGTGTTGCGTGTTCAGGAACCGAGAGCAGAATAAGAGAGCTGGTTGGTGAGGACGCTCAGAGAAGGACAGCTGGTGGGTCGCCATGCTTGCCGGCGGGAGCGAGGACCGCCAGGCAGGTGGAGGAGAAGCGAGGGCCGCCAGGCAGCAGCGGAGGAGGAGGTGTTGCGTGTTCAAGAAGAGAGGCCAGAATGAATCTCAATGGAGAGACAGAGCTTATATACACAGCAACCGTGAGTCACCGGTGAGTCACCCGTGGGAAACCCCGGTCTTTTGACTCCGTTGCTAGGATACTGTGGCATCTGGTGACGCCCCCCCCTTGGGCCGCTAGTTTGGTTGCTAGGGAAGACATAGCAGGTGGAATGCGGCTACGCAGTTGTAGGGGAGACGTCCACTACAATGTCATCACAAATTGTGACCAAGTCCCAGGTTGCTGATCTGACTTTCTACCTCATTTACACACAATTGCAGGGTCTCAACTGCTTCTCTTACTATTGACATTTATTTATGGTTCTTTATTACTATTATTATTATTATTATTATTATTATTATTATTACATTATCGCCCCCCCAGGCCCCGATGTGGGTCAGTGACCTGTGCCCGGGTGGGCTAATCCCTTTGAAAAAAAAAAAAAATTTTTTTAGGAGTTCAGGATTGACGGTTAATCCGAAAGTCCGTTAATCGAGGTTTTACTGTGAAAAAAAAAATATATATATATATACAGTATATTTATATACTGTATATATACAGTACATAAAGATATGATAAACATTTGAGTCATTCTAACCTAATCAAATTCACCCCCTCGCCTTGCCTCACCCAACTCACAGTATATATACAGCTGTACGCCACACCCCTGTACCAAACTACCACCTTACACACATTTGAACTATAATTAAAAGAGAAATTGATCTAAACTTCTTCATTCTTTGTCAGAAAAATACATTGTGTAACTCTTGTTTTCTTGTTTGCTTGCTTCAATTGATTTCCTGCCCGTCAACTACAATAAGGTCACTACGGCTTTGTTTATCGAGTACTATCGCTTATATACCCTAAGTGAGATATTAATGCACCAATAGACTTTACTGTATACACCCTTAACACCAGAGTTACGTGCGATGGATAGAAACGGATACATATGGATGTTCTAAACAAACGGCAGTTTATAAATAAACCCTGACGAACCAAAGAACAGAGAGAGAGAGAATAATGACTTAACACAGGAGAACAAAGAGGAAGGGGAAGATGATAATTGAAAAGAAATACGCTTGGCGGATATGAAGATAATTGAAGAGAAATGAGTAAAGAGGAACTGAAGAAGAGGGATTGGTGGAGAGAAGGTACTGTTAACATGTTCTTTCTATCAGCTGCTTTGTTTATGAATTTTGTTTCTCTCTAGCTGTTTACCTTGTAATCACTCACTCACTCTCAGCTCTGGGACATCCTCAAGCACAAGACATGGCTGACCACCACCTGAGGTCCTCCCATTGTGTGTGTGTGTGAATATAAAATCCTACCTAAACAAAACAAGAGACACCACAAACCTACCTTAATATCCTCCTAACACAGATACTCAAAACCCTATCACGCCTCCCTCGTCAACAGGTATGATCCACAACATTTAAATACATCAACGACAATCATCAATTATATCTACACTGATCATAAAAAATACTTGTGTACATTTTCAAACAATAATTTCTAGTTTCCAGCGACAAAAGTCTCTCATTACAACGGGACAAAAATTAATCTCATTACTTCAGGATGGCCGATGGATGATAATTGTTGTACACGGGGCTAGGGAGTTCACAGCTGCTGTGTGTGGACAGAGACACACACACACTTAAGCACGTACACAATATTGAGGCGTGCTGAGAAGACCAACACATGTCTTTCCAACACGTCCAGGATGTACCACCGCACACCAACACACACCGACACCCTTGGACTACCATGCTGCCGTCATGGTAAGTTGCCCTGGACGGCCTTGCTGGCCACTGTCCTGGACTGCCGTGCAGGCCGCTGCACAGGACTTCCGTGAAAACCACTTCCCTGGACTGCCGTGCTGGCCACTGCCCTCGACTATCGTGCTGGTAGCAGCGCTGCCGTTTATTCCTCAACTCTATGACGTCATATTTCCTCACCTTTTCGTTAGGTATTAATGGACATTAAAAAGCATGAATTTTAGGTTTAACTATTGTAATGTCTTGGCAAAATATAAACATGCACATACAAAAACCCTACAATCATATAATATTATAACATAACATGGGAACATTAAACACTAATTGAACAAAAAATATCAAATAGAAGTTAGCATCCTCTGATTTGGTGTAAAATTTATACATCCGCCCTGGAATTTCACAGCCTCAGACAAGGCTATCAATGAATTAATAGAGGGAGTTTGCAGAGCGTTTCTGGATTTTGTTTTCATTAAATTCAATTTATAAAATAGTCTCTCTGCATCAGCATTGGATGTTGGAAGAGACAATACCTGCAAAAAAATGTACAAAGGTCCTTAAATTGGGAAACACCAACACCGTCCTTAAGTTCCCTTAGTTTTTGTATAAACGTCCACTGTGTCACTGTTGTCCTTAATCTCGGGTGGTATAGCAATCACATCTAAGTCCCTCCATTGATCATCTAAAACTTGTATACTGCCTCCAATACACACACACAGTCCTTCAGAGCCCTCCAACACACACACACACACAGTCCTCCAGAGCCCTCCAACACACACACACAGTCCTTCAGAGCCCTCCAACACACAAACACAGTTCTCCAGAACCCTCCAACACACACACACACAGTCCTCCAGAGCCCTCCAACACACACACAGTCCTTCAGAGCCCTCCACACACACACACACACAGTCCTCCAGAGCCCTCCAACACACACACAGTCCCTCCAGAGCCTCCAACACACACACACAGTCCTTCAGAGCCCTCCACACACACACACACACACACAGTCCTCCAGAACCTCCCACACACACACACAGTCCTCCAGAACTCTCCAACACACACACACAGTCCTCCAGAACCCTCCAACACACACACACAGTCCTCCAGAGCCCTCCCACACACACACACACAGTCCTCCAGAGCCCTCCAACACACACACACACAGTCCTCCAGAGCCCTAAACACACACACACACACACACACACACACAGTGCATAACAGTCAATAAATGCCCAGTACTTGAAATGTCTGACTAATTTGTAAAGTAGGGTGGATGACCCCTCCTTCACCCACATCATGGTGTGAACGATCAAGCCAGCAGCAGCCATGTTACCCGCATGGTCGACAGTAGACTGCCAAAGCAGCTATTCTACGGTCACCTAACGAATAGTAAACATAACGCTGGCGGACAACTGAAAAAGTAGAATAGTCTTGAGACAAACCTGAAAAAATGTCAAATCGACCCCCCTGACATGGGAAATGAATACTCCACACCATTAAACTTGGAGGAGCACCACAGAAGGTATCGATGCTTTCCAGTTAACCCAACTGCATATCAAAGCAGACAAACGCCAAAGCTGGAAAGATACTGCTCCTCCCGCGCACTAGATGTGGCCCCCCACATTTGCAACAACTGTGGACAACCCTGCCAATCCCGTATCGGCCTCTTTAGTCACCTGAGAACTCACCAACGAAGGTGACATCCTTAATAACTCGTATCATTGTATAATAGGCTTCTTAGTTGGATGAACGTCATATTCGATTCTGAGCAGCAGCAGGAGGAGGAAGGCGGATAATCCCTCCTTCACCTACATTATGGGGTGGATGACCTGTCCAGCAGGAGTGTAGATGATCCCTCCCTCACCCACATCGTGGCCAACCTCTGTAATAATCAACACAACATTTTACCATACAATTCTATTTAACTTTCTTATCTATTTACCAGAATAAGACTAATACAGATGAATTATCTTGAATGAATAATTTATCAAGCTGTTAAATACTCATTAATAAATGTATAAACATTATTACATGTATTAATTAACCTTTTTCCCTGCATGTAAAGGCCTGGCCTGTAGGATATAAATCCCTTGCCAGCCTTATCAGGAACTTATCAAAGGAAAGTCAAAAAGCATGGGTTTCCAAGGGGTAATAAACAACCATTAGGGAGGACATCTCTTTAATAAGAAAATAATCACAAAATTAAACTCTGACACTACTCTCACAAATATCAAATAAACAGCACTGGAGTCAAACAATCACTAAAACAAAGTACAGATATTTCCTACAGCTGCAGATGAATCTTCCTTCTAACCAGCACTGTAGAATGTTCTGGTAATGCAGTGATACGCTTTCAGGAAGAAGGTCCAGGGCAGCTTCCTCACTTGGCGCCGGAGTTGGTGGGTGATGTCTTGCCACACAAGAGAGACGCCAGGGTACGGACAGTGGATAGGGCGTGGAGGAAGTGGTGATCACGTGGCGGCCATGGCAGTAGCTGGAGTAAGTGACCGGAGTTGACAGTCGAATAGTGAAGGACTGGAGAAACAGCCCACAAGCCCCAGGAACCTCCAATGAGTACAGAACCAAAGAAGGAATTGAACAGCGGGGTGAAGTAACAGCTGTGGTGAAGGCTAAATCTTGTCTGGCCAGCAACGAGGCAGCAGCGGCCTTCTCACCTTTGTCTCCCCCCTAGTGGGGCCGCAAACGAGCAGCAGACAACCTACCCGCTCATTACAGCCCTTACACTGCATTTATTTCACTTTATTATATTTGTTATCTAATGTATATACTGTATAGTAGGTAAGTTAATATTAACTTGGGTCGGTCTAGGTTAGTTACATTTAAGTTAGGCTGATTAGTTTAGTTAAGCTATTAATTGAAACCCACCTACAAACAACCAGCTTTACAAGCTATATTAATCACTTTACTACTACCAATGCTCACAGGAGGGTGTGTGGATGGGAGGAAGGGTGTATGGATGGGAGGTTGGGTGAGTGGATGGGAGGTTGGGTGTGTGGATGGGAGGAAGGGTGTGTGGATGGGAGGTAGGATGTGTGGATGGGAGGTTGGGTGTGTGGATGGGAGGTTGGGTGTGTGGATGGGAGGAAGGGTGTGTGGATGGGAGGTAGGATGTGTGGATGGGAGGTTGGGTGTGTGGATGGGAGGTGTGTGGATGGGAGGATGTGTGTGGATGGGAGGAAGAGTGGTGTGGATGGGAGGAAGGGTGTGTGGATGGGAGGAAGAGTGTGTGGATGGGAGGAAGAGTGTGTGGATGGGAGGAAGTGTGTGTGGATTGGAGGAAGAGTGTGTGGATGGGAGGAAGGGTGTGTGGATGGGAGGAAGGGTGTGAGGATGGGAGGAAGGGTGTGAGGATGGGAGGAAGGGTGTGTGGATGGGAGGAAGAGTGTGGATGGGAGGAAGGTTTAGGTAGTCTAAAGTCCCACTTGGAAAATATAACAAATTATATATCATCTTTTGATGAAGGAGCATTTGGGACTCCTGGGCAGACTTTTTGTTGGTCATCCTAATATTTGATGCTTGATTGGTGCTCAGTATTCTAATATGGCTTTAAATACCCAAAGAGATATAAACTTAAGTAGATGCAATATTGATTGATAGAAGGTACAGTGGGTAGGAAGGCCGCTGATACATCCTGTCTTCATCATAAAGTCAGCCACTTCTTGAGTGTAGAGGTTGGTCTCTTATCTTCGAGAGTTCGTGTTGGCCCCAGGTGACACGTGGCAAATCTGGTGTCATTTTAGGCATTGTCACTTGGTAAATACCTTAAGCCTAAAAGGGTTTATCTCCTAAACAAAAAATCATATAATTACTTTACAGTGAAGTAGTTTCCTCTATTAAATTTGGTAATTAAACAAATCTTAGTTTAGGAGATAAAGTTCTCACATTCCACCAAAAATAAATTTCCTTTCTTACTAGTCATTCAGGCAGTACATTCAAAAGCACTTACTTTAACTAGTCCAAATTACTATGAACATAAGACTATAATCAACTTAATCTATTACTTTGTATAAATAAATGTTTACATCAATATTTACATTTATTGCTTCATTTTTTGCGACAGTAGAAGTAAAATTATGTCGGCTGTGAGTGATCCTGCTATGTGAAATATATTTTTATCTTTGAGAGTCTTGGCTGAGAGTAGTTTTACTGTGATATATATTTTTACCTTCGAGGGTCTTGACGAGTAATAGTTTTGCTGTGTGATATATATTTTTACCTTCTGAGGGTTTTGATGGGTAATAGCTTTACTGTGCCATATAAATTTTTACCTTCTGAGGGTCTTGATGGAAAATAGTTTTGCTGTGTGATTACCTTGAGGGTCTTAGCTCTGTACTGTTAAAGCACTGTGTAAATTTAACAAACCAGAACTGATTAACGGTCCCAACTTCCTGTGAATCACCAGATAACGGTGAAAAAACAACAGAGAGCAGCAGGCACCCTTCTACTGCTGTCACAATCATCTCTGAGCATCCTGACCCTACAAGAACCTTCTTGCCCACTAGGTTATTGAGGGGCACTCATACTGAAGGGGTCATACTTGCATCAAAACACGATAAGTAAACATAAGCACATATTTAAATACAGTGCATCATGCCTTTTATTTTAGGTGTAGACTACAGTATCCGTGAAGAGGTATGAACGTGGGTACCCTATGCTGATGGACGATTCAGCAGCCCAAGGAGCCAAGAAGGTAAATTATGTGTTGTGTTGTGTGTGTGTGTGAAAGGGTGGACAGGTGGGTGAGTGGGTAGGTAGGTAGGTCGGGTAGGTGGGTGGGTGAGTGAGTGCATAATGAACAACTGTATCAGAAACACACAGGTATGATTACATCTTAAATATCAAAATATTATCTATCACAATACAGTACGTTATCCACATACAGTATAAACAGAAAACTACCGAGGAAAAGAGAAAATGCGAAAGTACTTGGGAATTTTATGTTTTCTTTTTCGTTTGTGGTTATTAGTATGTTTTAATACATGTTAAAGAATATATATATATATATACCAAGCATTAATATACTGTATGGCAGTAAATGAAGGATGAATCTATACATACTATAGTTTCCATTTAAAGTAATTATGAATGACTTTAATTCCATTAATATGTACACATGACAGGATCAGGTGATTAGATAGTCTAAACATGAATACCGGGTATTCACATCAACAAACATTACCTCATATTCAAGAATGGTAGAAAGTACATGTAAAGCAGTGAGGGAAACCTAAAAATTGGGTAGAAATGATTGTTTATTAGTCTTCATCGGTAGTACTTTTGGGAGGTGGTGGGTTGTGTGGGTGACAGAGGTAAGCCACACAAGTACTCTATTGCTGCTATTTTGTTGCGGAAGGAAATTACTACAGGAAAGCCAGATCTAGGCATTTCAGTAGGGGGGGGGGTGTCACAGAAAAAAGAGCACTTCTTAAAATAAAAATAACAAGATACAAAAAGAAATTCTAATTTGGGTACAGCAGTTATCACAGAAAAATGTACAAATGATTACAAATGTCATGCCAATTCAAATAACTATCAGAATAAGGTGAATAGAGTGGCTGGAGCACAGACCAAAGTGATAAGGAAAGTGGTAAATGAGTTACAATCCACTAAGACTCCCATTTAGTAAATCCTTGGATCAATGTATTCAGTGCCTAGGGACTAGAAATCAGCCAGTGCCACCCCAGTATACAAGGGTAAAAAAAAGCACAGTAGAAAACTACAGGCTGATCAGCCTAACAAGATACAGTGTACAGAGGGATAGCACAAAGATAATAAAAACTCGTCAAAGAGAACTGGAAAAAAAAAAGGGAAAACAGAAGATAACTCAAACTGTCCTGGACGGACGAATGAAGGGAGGTTAAAACCAGCAGTGGGCAGTTAAATACTGTTTTTTTTTTCTTTCTTTTTAAATAGGAGTAGATCTGTACACAGTCTGCAGCCCCCCTCCCCAACAGCAACAACCACGAGGGGTATAAAACCTGGGGCTGAAGCGGCACCAGGAAATCTGTTGAATGTGATTACTGCAAGGAGACGACGGATGTTGATGGTACAGACCTGACCAATACAGAGTTTAGGACGATACAAGTTGCCATAAAGCATGAAGGCTGTCACTGGTATTGCCCTGACTGCATAGTGAAAGAGGCGATTGCAAGCCATAGGGGAACGAGTTCCCTTGGGACGAAAATAGATGAAGCTGGATCCTTGCTGGTTGCCAAACTTGAACAAGTTGGGAAAGAGATCCTTGCTAAGACTGAGGAAGTAGCCGATAGAATGGAGGTGGTAGCAAAGAGGAGTTATGCTCAGGCCTTAACAGAGCCATGGGAGGTGGTGGAAAGTAATGAAGGATCAGAACAGGTTCTACAACAGCTAGGGACTCTGAAGATGTGTGTCGAAGAGATGGCAACTAGCGGACGTACTGTTAGGGGAGAGAAGGAACAACGGGAACGTTTCCAGTGCAAGAACAATATAATAGTTTTTGGAGTCCCTGAGAGCCAGGCGGAGGGAACCGAGAGTAGGACAACACACGATAAGATGCAGTTTAAGAATATTTGTACATAGGTTCTGAATATGCCCTCCTCCCCCCTTCAGAATGTGAGGAGGCTGGGACAAAAGCAGGGGGACAAACCTCACCCCCTCAGGATCACACTAGTGAGTGAGGAGAAGAAATGGGAGGTTATTCAGTGGGAAAAAACTTAGCAAGGAGCAAGGCATTTCGAAATGTATTTATTCACCCAGATCGCACAGTAAAGCAGAGGGAGCAGCACAAGAATCTCCTGCAGGGCTTGAAGCAGAAGAGGGAGGAGTCAAGGAGGAACAGGGATGGGTGTACATGGGTTATATTCAGGAGGAGGGTAGTGGAAACAAGTGAGCCAACACAGAGCCAGGGGGCAGCAGCGCACCCTCCACCCGCTCTTCCCCCCACCCGAGAGGAGGTGAGCGCCGTGTAAATAATGACATTTCTAACCACACCCTGCAAAATACAGTGTACTTAGCAAATGCTGCAGCTTCTGAGAATGGAGGGGGGCGGGAGTTACTACTAAGAGTAGAGACGTTACCGAAAAGAACAAATTCTGGCTTGAATGTCATGTACACTAATAGTGACAAGTTCCTTGATAAGAGAGAGGAATTTGAAACACTACTGAAGGTACACCAACCCAATATTGTAGCTGTAGAACTGTTGTACAAGAACAGGAAAATCGACCCAGAGGAATGTGAGTTCAGTATTGCTGAAACTTGCAAGAAACTTGCAAGAGGGGTGTGGTTATCTATGCTTGGCAAGATTTTAGAGCCAGCCAGGCATGGGTACAGGGAGAGGATGTTTTTGAAGAGTCCAAGTGGTGTAAAATTAAATTAAAGGGAGGGGACTTACTTATTGCCGGGTGTATCTACAGATCCCCAAACTGTAGCCCACTAAATCAAAGGAACTTAAGAGCCTTAATAGACAATGCAGCAATGCTCAACCCTAGCCACCTCCTTATCATGGGGGAATTTAACTATGGCGACATCGACTGGAGAAACAAGTTCACCCCAAATGACTTGAATAACCCTGCTACTCTTTTTGTAGAATCTCTGAGAGATAACTTTCTGTTCCAACATGTTAAAGACCCAACACATTACAGAGAGGAGCAAACACCAAAGCCACTAGACCTCATCATAACAAACGAGGAGCGTATGGTGGCCAAACTGAAACAACTAGCCCCAATTGGCACCAGTCACCATGTAGTGTTGTCATTCAGATTTAACTGTTACCTAGTTCATGATAAAGCCAGGCCAAGGTGCAAATATTACAGGGGAAATTACGACGGGATGAGGGAAGAGATGAGGGGGTATCCACTGGCCCGACTCACTAAGGCACAAGAATGCAGACACTATGCTGAATATCATAACTAGTAAAGTGACCCATTTGATCAATAAATATATACCCAAGACCAAACCCAGTGCCTCTAGGAATACGAGGGAACCCCAACACATAAACCATGTGGCAATCGACAAAGTTAAGAAGATAATCCAGATATTCAAGACGTGGGTTATGTCAAACAATAAGCAGGACAGGGGGATGTATGCAAGAGCCAAAAACCAAGCAAAGGTAGAGTTTAGAAGGGCTGAAAAGGAGTTCCAGAGGCTGGTTGCAAACGAGGTCAGGTCAAACCCAAAGGCATTCTACCGCTATGCAAAGTTGAAATTAAAAACGCGAGTAGGAGTATCAGACCTGAGGCTTGAAGATGGTAGTTACACAGATTCTGACCAGGATAAAGCCGAGGCATTGAACAGCTTCTTTTCCTCGGTGTTCATAAGAGAGGATGCGATTAACCTTCCTGCGTTTGAGGACAGATGGACCGACACAGCACTGACCCACATTGTGTTCACAGAACAGGGTATAAGACATAAACTGTCAAAGCTAAAGATCCATAAGAATCCCAGCCCTGACATGGTGCATCCCAGAGTGCTAAGAGCATTGTGCAACGAGCTTGCCGAGCCCTGAAGATCCTGTTCTGTAAATGCCTGGATGAACAAAAGGTCCCCAGTGATTGGAAAATGGCTTATGTGAGTCCTATCTTCAAGAAAGGCGATCGTCACTCCACGAACAACTATGGACCGGTGAGCCTGACCAGCATAGTATGTAAAGTACTTGAGAGCATTATCAGTGATGCCGCGATAGAGCATCTACTACGAAACAACCTTGTAAAGGATTGCCAACATGGTTTTATACCAGGGCGCTCCTGCTTAACACAATTGCTAAAGGTATTGGATATTTGGACCCATATTCTGAAACGGAGCAGTAATGTCGACAATATATACAGTACCTAGATTTTGCCAAGGCTTTCGGCAGTGTACCCCATGTAAGGCTGAAAAACAAACTGGAAGGGTACGGAATTCAGGGAAAAGTCCTAGCGTGGATCGAAGATTTTTTACATGAACGCAAGCAGTGTGTGGTGGTCAATGGCACAAAATCATCATCTGCAGCTGTCACAAGCGGGGTACCACAGGGCAGCGTATTGGGCCCACTGTTGTCTGTTTGTTTCATAAATGACATGCCTGACGCTGTACACTCTTCCATACAAGTGTTTGCGGATGATACCAAGTTATTTCGGGAAATCTAGAACCAAGAGGACTGTGAAGAGCTGCAGAAGGATCTCTGCGAGCTCCAAGATAGGTCGAAGAAATGGCTGCTGAGACTCAATGACATGAAGTGTAAGAGGATGCACCTAGGACGTACCAACGGTAAGGAGGCATATCATATGTCCCAACAGGCTGAAAAAACTGCACTATTTGAGACTGAATGTGAGAAGGACCTGGGTGCGTATGTTGACCATGAGCTGAAGTTCTGGGCCATTGTGAGAAGAAGGTAAATCAGGCAAATAAATTATTAAGTCTTATAAGAAGGTCGTTCAGATATCTAGACGGTCCGTCCCTCGTCACAATCTTCAAGAGTGAAGTGCTTCCCCATCTGGAGTACAGTACTGTTACCCTGTCTACTCCCGATATTTACAAGGGACTGCACTTTGGCACCTCAACTACCCTGAGAGATTGGAGTGCCTGAACTTGCCTAGCTTATACTACAGATGGGCAAGGGGGGACCTAATTGAGGTGTATAAGCATCTCAAAGGGCACTACTATGTCGAGTGTCCTTACTTGGAGCTGGCAGACGCTCGCCCCACAAGGGGTCACAGCTCAAGGTTGAAGAAGCCGCAGGTCCAGAAAACTGTGAGGACAATCTTTTTCGGAGTGAGAGTTGTGAACTCTTGGAATAATCTACCAGAAAGTGTTGTGACGGCACCGAGTGTGAGCTCTTTCAAGACCGGACTTGACCAACACTGGAGCAGGTTCAGGTACATTCAGGAGCCGGTGCATGCCCAGTACTTGCCAACAGTGCCTAACAGAGACGTGACAGATAGCCCAAGTGGCTAACGAGCCGATCAGTGGTGAAGAGGATAAAAAATAATAAATAAAATAAATTAAAATATAAACCCCATTATTGGACCCAACACAACCTAAACTTCTAAGTTACTCTGTATGGAAACAAATAATGCCCCTTTCAACTGAAGCAGTATGGTATATTCCTGTGGCTAGAGTAGTCTCAGAGCACAAATTGCCCCCTGGCTACCTAGGGAAACTCTGGCTGGAATGAGGGTATTGGACGAAATTCTGGAAGACCTCGAGTTGAGTAGTGATGAGTAATGCGAATAATGAAACACAAGGGGAGTCATGAGGTGAGGAAATACAACTTTACAAGAGGTAGTGAACAAGAAAGGAATTTGTAAAATGATGAGGGAAGCAGGATGGATAGAGAAGGTAAGTGAAAGTGAAAAAGAAAGAGAGAAGAGACAAAAAGTGGAGGAGGAGATGTGTGTTGGAAGGATAATAATAATAAAGAAAATAACAGAAGGGACATACTGGGAAATGGATCAAGGAGAGAGCAAAGTATGGAATCTGAAGGAAGAAAATGAGAACACACACGTCACTTGCAAATCCAAGTTGTGTAAATGTGAAAAAAGATCCAATGGTCACTGAATATTGGAAAAAATGGCAGTTAAATTATATCTAGAACATTGATAATTTTGCTGAGGAATCGCAGTCCTGGTTTGAAATGCGGACACAGCATCAACATTCCCAGAAGAAAACTGCACCTGATTCCAGTGAAACCTTGTCCTTGATGTATCTACTAAAGCAGTGTGATTTGTTTCCTGCTATTCAAAAAGTCCTACTGATCTTGACACACCAAGCCTCCACTCGTGAAGAAGAGCGGTCATTTAGCTTGCTGAGACATTATCAAGACATGCCCCCAATCACTAATATCAAGTGAACACTTGTCTGTATTGTGTATGCTCAGCATGCATAGCCAGAAGGGGTTAGATAGAAAGACGGCCTCCAATGAAGACACGAGTGATCGTTTTGGAGCTGATAAGTGCAGCTTGCAGTATTTATTTAACCACTGAAATTATGCTGCTAATGTTTTGAGCAAGTCACCAATGTGACAGACAGCTATCCCTAGATTTTTGGCTTTAACGATAAAAAGTAATGATTTTCCTTAAGTTTTAAATGCTTAAAGTCAACCCTATGATAATATTAATGATTAATAATTTGGTAATAACACTAATAAGTGATATTGCTGATTAGTATACAATACAGTACTACTCAAATATAGTAACTCAATTATACTTAACCATACTTTTATATATATATACTGTATATATATATAAAAGGTATATACCTTCCTTTCTTGCACACCCTGGAAAAAATCCTATGGATGTCCATGGCAGCACCTGTCCTCTCTTGTACTGGTAAAGGAAGGTTACAGAAGCTTGAGATTCTGCAAAATGAAGCAATGAGAATAATTTTAGGATGTCCAAAAAATGTAATGATTGAGATAATGAGAATAGAACATGGTCTACAGAGCAATTCACAGGTCAATGAAATTAATACAGTTGTAGCAATTTGATTAATGAAAGGGAATAGTGGGGGTAAACTTGTTTAAGATATAAATGGTGGCTTAAAAATTAAAAGGACCTTCTGGAGGCAAGGCAAGATAAGAGAGGATACATAAAAGGATTAAAAAATATAATTAGAAAATGTAATCTGACAGACTGGTGTACAGCTGTTCAGAAAAGTTGCAAGGATCCACCCTGGGATTATTAATTTACCTAAAATAAACACAGTGATCAGCTCGTTATCCGCTTGAACGATCGGTCACATCTTTGTTATGCACTGTTGGAAAGTACTGGGCATGCACTGGCTCCTGAATGTATCTAAACCTGCTCCAGTGCTTGTCAAGTCTGGTCTTGAAAGAGCTAACACTCGGTGCCGTCACAACACTGGCAGATTGTTCCAAGAGTTCACAACTCTCTCCGAAAAAGTTACCCCTCACAGTTTATGGGCTTGCGGTGTCTTCAACCTTGAGCTGTGACCCCTTGTGGGGCGAGCATCTGCAATCTCCAGGTAAGGACACTCGACTGAGTACTGCAGTGCCCTTTGAGATGCTTATACACCTCAATTAGGTCCCCTTTTGCCCATCTGTAGTATAAGCTAGGCAAGTTCAGGTGCTCCAATCTCTCAGGGTAGCTGAGGTGCCGTAGTGCAGGCACCAGTCTGGTGGCATTCCTTTGGACATTTTCAATCAACTGACAGTCCCTAGCATATCTGGGGGACCAGACGGGGTGACAGTACTCCAGATGGGGAAGCACTTCACTCTTGAAGATCGTTACGAGGGACGGGCCGTCTAGATATCTAAACGGCCTTTTTATAAGACCTAATAATTTATTTCCTGATTTGTCATCTTCTCACAATGGCCCAAGAACTTCAGCTCATTGTCAACATACACACCTAGGTCCTTTTCACATTCAGTCTCAATGCAGTTTCTTCATCCCGCTGGGACATGTGATATGCCTCTTTACCGTTGGTATGTCCCAGGTGCATCCTCTTACACTTCGTGACATTGAATCTTAGCAGCCATTTCTTCAACCATTCTTGGAACTCACAGAGATAAGGCAGTACATTACCAGCATGTAATCAGCCAAGAACAGTGTACTGTTAAAGCAGACGTAAAAATTTTCGGAGATACCAAGTGCATGATACTAAACATGAAAATGGAAATGACAATGCACAGAACTTAACAGAACCTGACCTAACCAGCCTAATCTTACCTAACTTCCTTGCAGGGAGCTCTGCCGCCCCCAGCATATTAAGTAAAAAGATATCTGTTACCAATGAAGGCAATTTGCTTGAAGCAACATTGTGTAATTTTACGGTTTTGAGGACGTAAGAGTACAATCAGTTGTTGCACTGAAACACATACTGTATTTCTTCTTCACAGTCAGTTCTCTGCCACATCTTGAACACTTGCATGTCCTGCCAACTAGTCCATGTTGATAGATAAACTCTTGAAGATGGTCTGCATCCTCCACAACCGCAGGTAACTTGTGATACACAACCGAACATGACGCAATAGCACCATTGAAAATTAACATGGGAATCAAATCCAACTTCAGTACATGATTCTCATACATAGAATAGTTTTAAGAACCTACTGCACCCAAAGAAAGAAAAGAGGATTTGGACAAGCCAATACTCACAAATCTGGATTGTGACACCTCTTACATGAGAAAAACAAACAGTATGTAATAAAAATTATATGACAATGCAAAGAACCTAATAGAACTTGACCTAACCAATCAAAGAAACCTACCTAACTTCCAAGCCGGACCCCACAGCATATTAAACAGAAAACTTACTTTGATATTCAACATCAATGAAAGCAACTTTCTTGAAGCGGCACAGTGCAATTTTTTGTGGACATGAGAATATGCTCTGACTGAGCGGGTTGGTTGATGCACGGAAATAAACAACGAGTAGATGACAACACATGCCAACACGGCAGAATTTCCGGGAAATTTTATGGGAAATAATTAATTTCTTCACATAAAAAGCACGTATAGACATCATTTTAGTGTCATATGATCGGTTTTTCACCGTGTTTTACCCTGCATTTTCCTTCATCCTTCATTCCTTACCCACTGCAGGTGATTTATGATAGTAGATAAAGTCATGCTAAAAAAATAAATAAATACTTATAATTAGAAATAAAAAGGGTGCTACTATAGCATGCAATCTACAACATATTTAGGTTAGGTTAGACTAAAGATATTTTTGAAGACCACACACTATAGTAGCACCATAAACTTTTTTTGTATCGTTCTCATTACTCGCTATCATCCAAAAACACATCTATGGAAAAAATTAATATAATCATACAATTCCTTCTGGTGTAAGTCGTCTGCACCAGTATTACCGAAAATATAAACGACAATGGACAAGTTAGATGAAGTTAGGTAAGGTTAGGTCAGGTTCTAATAGGTTATGTGGATTCTCACTTCTATTTTCGTATTCAGTATCATGCAAATAGTATCTCCTGAAATATGGATCAATTCCATAAGTTATTTCTGGTGGTCTCCTCCATCTTTACTAACCATTTTAACAGCAGTAATGATCGATGGAATTACTACACTCGCCACAATAAATTGCAATAATACTCAGGCAACATAACAATATATAAAATGACGAAGTTTAACTTAGCATTTAACTTTTCATAACACATCAACGTCATGTAAATTTCCATTTGATGACGAAGTAAAACTCTCCGTAATTACTTATTGGGTTGACCAACTCTCTAACATCACATGTAACTTAATATGAAAATAAAAATTACAAACAATTTAACCACCACAGTGAACAGTACTGAAATAAATTAATATGAAGATAAAAATACTAACAATTTACTCCCACAGGGCAGCCAGCAGCAACACTACCTCCTCCTACAGTCACTCAGGCAAATGGAGTGCAGATGAGGTGGACAATGAGGGTTAAAGGACTCTCACTGTTTGTATATTTCTGATTGCCAGTTAACTAATGCTGTGGGTTTAAAGATTAGGCTCCTTCAGTAGAAAAGCTTTGACAGGGGACCATCAGTGCGAGAAGGCCTCACCAGGAAAGCCATGAACCGCTGCAGGCTGGCACTGTTAGTGGCTAATAAGTACTTTCTATTTAATACTCCCCCTGCCGTCGAGTCCGAGCGTGGTGTAGCTCCCTCCACTAATCACGGCACTGCCTCATCGCCCACACGCAAGTTGTGTTAAGCCACGGCACCTTTTTTCTCTCACAAAAATTCCCTTCCATCATCCCCTTTAAACTTCCACTGAACCTCCCCCCGTCACTAGCCTTTATTGTCATTGTATGAAGGGAGATCCGCCCCCTGCTAAAAAAGTAGGTAAGTTAATTAGGTTTCTTTGGTTAGTTAGGTCAGGTTCTAGTAAATGTCACCTCTTTTATAATAAGACCATCACTTTATCGTCTATTTCCTTTATTTTCCTTAGTAGTTCATTTCCTAAGTAAATACAAAGATGCAATAACCACGTGGATATAACTATCACCTCCTGTCCTAATAGTCAGGGCCGTCCCTAGGAGGGTGCGGGGCCCGGGGCAACTCAGCCACTGCGGGGCCCCAGAAAATATATATATGGAGTCAGCTTATGCGGTCAGAGGAACCAACCCCCATGGGACTGTCGCTATGGATAGTAAGGTCACGGTTGCGATGGTGGCGTAAGCCGTCAGGTCAGATTAACCAGTCAACAGGTAATGTGTCCGAGGTCACTGGGTCTAGTGCTGGGCCCCGCGGGGGCCCCACACACGCGGGGCCCCGGGCGGTCGCCTCTGTTCGCCCCCCGTAAAGGACGGGCCTGCTAATAGTCACCTGTTTGATGATGGACACTGTCAATCCATCTTGCTGTTAAAGTCTACCTATATTTACAATTGGGGAACTGGGGTGGTCGAGTGTAGTGGCGGCCTAGGCCGTTGTGACGGTACCGAGTGTGAGCTCTTTCAAGACCAGACTTAACCAACACTGAAGCAGGTTCAGGTACATTCAGGAGCAGGTGCATGCCCAGTACTTGCCGACAGTGCGTAGACGTGACCGATTGCCCAAGCGGCTAACGAGCCGATCAGTGGTGAAGAGGATAAAAGTATAAAGTATTGCTGAGGGCGTTTGCTATTGTTTCGTAAATTAGTGCAATAGCCGTGTTTGTGCCTCGGTTCTTCTGGAATCCATGTTGTCTGGGGTTATATTTGTTTTCCTGTTCTAGATAGTTTCCGAGTCTGTTGTTGACTATTTTTTCTAGTATTTTGCCTGGTGTTTCTAATAGGGATATAGGTCTATAATTTTCTGGCCTTCTTGGTATTTTCCGGGTTTGGGTATGAGTCTGATTTTGGCTGTTTTGAATCTCGTGGGGAAGTTGTAGCGTTTCGTTAGGTTATGTGTTGTTGTCTCGCACTCAGGATGGGATGGATGGACGCTCTAGGTGGTGGTTTTCTTATATAAAATATATTATATGCAAAACAGTCTGGTGCTGGAGATGCCGTGTGGTGAGAAGCTTGCTCGTTGGGTGAGTAGCGTGCTGGAGCTTCGTTAGAGGAGATGGTGTGTGTTGCTGGCCTCCAGGTTGAATGAGAGCTGGACAGCGAGGAGCTTGCTCGAAGGAGGTGTTGCGTGTTCAGGAACGTAGGGTAGAAATGAGAGCTGGTCAGCGAGGAGCTTGCTCAGAGGAGGTGTTGGTGTTCAGGAACTTAGGGTAGAATGAATCTCAATGACTTGACTTAACTTAAATGCTAGTGACAGGGGGGAAGGAGGTTCAGGGGAAGGATAAAGGGAGGATTGAAGTGAATTTTAAAAGGAGAGAAAGGTGCCGTGGCTAAACACCGCTTGCGTTATTTTGGGTTTTAAGTTGGAGGCAGTAGCAACTCGCCTGGACGCGGCGAGGAGGTGTATAATCTCAATGACGAGACTGAGAGCTTATATACACAGCAGCCGGGAGTAAACCCGGATGCAAGTGTAGCAGGTGGCTTGTCATATGTAAGGAAGAGTATCGCAGGTGGCGACCTCCCCCCGCCCCCGTGAGAACCTCGCCGGTGGTTGAATTCCGTTGCTATGGGATACGGCTACGCTGTTGTAGGGGAAAGATCCACCACAAAGTGTCCTGCTGCTAGCGAGGCATTAAAGATCTGTGTAAGTTGTTTTACCAGTGTTGTGGGTATGTTTTGAAGGACGCTTTTGTTTTATCTGACTTAGTCCGGGTGCTTTATTTTTGGAACTGGGTTATTATGTTTGTTATGTCTTTTGTGGTGATTGGCGTGGTTAATGTGTCTGAGACTGCACTGATTAGCATGTCGAGGGCTATTGTTCTTGGTGGTCTGACCTCCACGAATCAATCAATCAATGGCTAGTGACAGGAGGGAAGAAGGTTCAGGGGAAGGATAAAGGAAGGATGGAAGTGAGTTTTAGAAGGAGAGGAAAGGCTTAGCTTTGGAGTCATGAGTTATGAGGTGAAAGACGATTACTAGGGGTTGAAAAAAAAAGTGGTGAAACTGAAATACAGTAGGAGTAGAAAGAATCTGGGCTCAACCAGATCGCTTCATCTTTCCTATTGGTGTTTTACCTTTGTTTTGCTCCCTTGGGTCGTCAGACCTTTGTATTAATATTGGTTTATTTATATAGTATCAATTTATATTGAGAAACTTTTAAATTAATTCTTTATTTTATCCTATTTTATATTTGTTATGACTAACGGTGTTATCGTACCTCAACAACAAACTGAGATGAGGTGGGAGAATTCTAAACAAGGTATGTATGCAAGCCAAGGTTTATTTGTACTAACTCACAACACGAGCAGCAAGCCGAGCCGAGGTAAACCGACTACAAATGACTGAGGGGGGGGCGCGAGGCGCTACAAGTCGTGATGGTTTGTGTACACTCATCTTTACCCCCCACACACACACATACACACTCACACACTTGTACACATGATGCACACAGAGCGCGGTGAAAATAGAAAACGTGCACAAGTGCTTAAAATTGAGGAAGACAATATACAGTACAGTACCTAAAAGTTAAGTAATTTAAAACAAAAACTATGAGGCCAAGATCAGGATGAGAGAATAAAGGAAAGATAAACAAGTAAATAAAGAAAATTAGCAATTACCATACAATGATAAAAGAAATAAGAAATTACAAGTTGTAAGGTTAAAGATCATAGAAAAAAATAAGGAATATGTAACAAAGTATTACTTAAATATAATCGGATAATAGAATATTCGTAAAACCAGTCCTTCCCAAATCATGCAAGTAACCAAAATAATCAAAACCTCGTTGAATAATTACTTATTCATGACGTCATGAGTTATATACAATATTTACATTAGACAAGACTGATCAGGACTCGCGATCTCCTTCAAACTCGCCTATGTTATTCTCCAAAATCTGTTAATAACTATATCTGGAAATGCACCGTGGAAAAGAGAAATTGTGATTTTGAAAGCATGTGGAAATAGTTTACATTGGTAGAGTATTATGGCACGACTGAGTAATTTAAAGGTAGGAGAAATAGAATACAGGCATTCAGCTACTCTTTTGAGATATTGAGAGAACGTTCGGTTATTGTCACATTCTTATCCTTGAAATTTTCTTAATAGTAGCATAAATATTATGCATGGTTGAGTAACATGGACGGACAAGGGAAGACGAGAGGTGTAGAAGCTTGGTTGATGGTAGGGATTGGCTTCCATGGTGTGGTTGTGAAAGTCGGTCAACTAAGGGTGTTGATGAGGAAACTGGAGAGAGGTGGTAGTGGTGGGGATTTACAGAGCACGGGACTGCTCGAAAGGTGGGTGGACGGGGATCACCACCTCGATGTTGGTCTGTTCTTCCACTGTGTTGGCCTGCAAGGATGACGGTAAGATCATGATGATAATTGCTTCAAGTGGGTTAGAATGAGAATTATAGAGTTTATACAGAAATATCAGTATAAGTAGGAATTTAAGTAGTAAGTACCAAACAATTACAGTGAGCTCTTCAAACAAAAGTTGACACTGCTGGGGCTCATGTCATGGCTTGTGTGTTTGTTTGGGTACATTTCTCAACATATCTAGGTTAAGGTACCACCTCTAAGAGACTAGTTTTGAGCAACATAAGAGTTTACAAGACAGACAATAGTTATACAATAAGTTATGTCACTAAAATAATGGGAATTAGGAATAACTCTTGTTGTATTACGAGATAAGTGATTATGGAAAGCAGCGTTGACATACATTGTATCCGTTGATAGGGTCGGCGGTGTAGGTGGTGGTGTAGCGGATGCCGTTGGGGGCGACGAAAGAGTAGGAGCCCTGCACTAACCCATTCTCGTCCTGACTCTCTTGGCGGGATTGGTAGTTGGTGAACTCATCATCAGCTACGTTTAGGCTAAAAGCGTAAGGGTCGGGGGTGTCCTGGAAGAAAGAAATTAGATTTGGTTCAGCTAAGGGATCGTGCCAGTGGCTTCTTGATTTTTTTAATGTTTATTATTATCATTATTATCTGACAATGTAAAAGTCACAGTTTAGGCAGGCGTATAAAATAAATATATAAGAGGGATATTTATCATTTTATATAAATTATTTGTTAAAGGAAGAATATATCAAAGTGGTTCACAAATTCAGTAACACGATATATATATATATATATATATATATATATATATATATATATATATATATATATATATATATATATATATATATATATATATATATACTGTAAATGTTTACTTGGTAGAAATTCACACATCGAGGGACATAATTTTATACACACTGAGTATTTGTGAATCATTTTGTTTTTTACGAGAATTTACTTTATTGGATAATAGCTGTCACTTGATGTGTGTGGGTTTACTCAAGCTTCAAACTCACATGTTACCTATGGCTTGTAATATCATGTGCAAAAGTATATGAGTAAAAGAGGAAGGGAAAACAGATTCTTACCAAGATCTCCTGAGCGGGCTGCTGTGAGAACTGCTGTTGTGGGGCACAGAGAGCCACGCCCACCAGACACGCCAGTACGATCACCTGGAACACACATAAACAGTTGTTATATCAAGGCGGTGACATGGAGGATGTTGACGGGAATATTCTACATTGGAAGGGCGTTTTATCTAGAGTGGTGTGGAAGTCTTCGATCAAATATCAAAATACACCAGATCTACAGTGCGGTTCGTAAAGGCCTCGTGGCGTCATGCGTGTGGGTGAACGCCTTTTCGGTGAAGAGTAAGTGCATCTAATGTATCTTGATCTTGTCCTCGCCCACATAAGGAGCAAGACTAATAGCTAATCCTTTAACTGTCAACATGGACACTGTATGGCATAAAACCTGTTTATAAAAGTCATCATTATGATAATGTAATGATTTTAACTTAGGTGATATAATTATAAATCTCTGTTAAGTTTGTCAGGCCCCTTGAGATGATCACTTCAAGGCGGGGCTGGAGAATATGATGAGCAGTAGACGATATGATTGACAATTTCTGCTGGTAACGATCAAGAAAGTGACAATGGTCAATGGAGTGTGTGGAAAGTGAGGAGACCGTAGAGTGTGTGGAGAGGGACGGACATAGAAATAAGATAAAAGGGTAAAATCATGAAGGGTAGTGACAGTAGCAGAAAGTAGTGCGAGGGAAGGACAGAGGTGAGTAGAGAATGACAGTAACAGAACGCCGACAGTGACTTTCACCAGTTCTATTTAACATTGAAGCAGTCCTCTGTATTGCTGGCTCAGAATATTAGTGGGACTCATCTTCTATTCGGTTGACATTGTAAAATTTTCTAAAGTTATCAGAATCCCTTTCACGATTGTATATTTGTGAATGGTTAAATGAATATAGATGATATTAGGCGCCGGGGAATTATGTCTAGAATATAACAGAAAACGGGTAAAAATTTAGTCAATATTTGGGGTCACTACACTAATCAATGTTTTACAACAAAATGCAAATAGTCAATACTGTATGAGACGTTCTGTAAATATACAAAGTTAATATAAATATCATGTTTGTGGAATATATATTAAACAGGACTTACCTTCATATTTTATAAGTGAGAGAGGAGTGACTTCGTCGAAGGCTGGATCACCACTGACTATCCAGCTACACCTGGCACCATTATATACCTGCTGCCGCCCACAAGATTTTGCACGTGACCTGACCCGCCCAGGGCCACCCACCTGCCTGCCTCGGTCTGCAACACACTCGATTCTCCTTGATCGACCTTATCTTCACGTGACTTACGAAGAATTAAAAGCAGTTCTGTCAAGTCAAAAGATAAATAAATGTATTTCTTAACAAAGGTGGACTTGGTATATTATTTACATTACAATAATGTTAATTACAATTAAATTAATAGTACTTGGATTGTGAATCAAATGAGAGCTATTAGTGTTTGGCGATTATTTTTGTTATATCAGTGTTATACAGATCGTAACACTAATAAATTGTTATTGTACACAAGAGAGTAACTACCCCGAGTGTTTCAAGGCCGAGTGAGCGGGTGTGACGTGGGGGGAGGGGGGAATTGGCGGCGGTGGACAGGCAAGTGAGCTGGCGGGGTGGAGAGTGGACGGAGCGGGTGAGCTGACTGTGTGGAGGGTTTACAGGTGAAGGAGCTGACAGGGTAGATCTGACTGGATGGAGGGTGAGTGGACAAGGTGGAGGTAGAGGGCAGACGGGGCATATGAGTGGATAGGGTGGAGGTAGAGGGTAGATGGGGCAGGTGGGTGGATAGGGTGGAGGTAGAGGGTAGACGGGGCAGGTGAGTGGATAGGGTGGAGGTGGATAGGGTGGAGGTAGAGGGTAGATGGGGTGGGTGGATAGGGGGAGGTAGGGTGGAGGTAGAGGGTAGACGGGGCAGGTGAGTGGACAGGGTGGAGGTAGAGGGTAGATGGGGGGTGAGTGGATGGTGGATAGGTGGTGGAGGTAGAGGGTAGACGGGGCAGGTGAGTGGACAAGGTGGAGGTAGAGGGTAGATGGGGCAGGTGAGTGGATAGGGTGGAGGTAGAGGGTAGACGGGGCAGGTGAGTGGATAGGGTGGACCGGGACCAAAGAAAGAGGCGCCGCACCAGTGACCTCGCGTGTAAAGGGCGGGTCGACCTGTGATGCTCTAGTCTCCTCAACTCTCTCAATTCCACCCTTCTCCTATCCCCATCCTTCCTTCCTTCATGCGTCCCTCCCCTCTTGCACTTGAGCGTAGTCTAAGGTGCTTAATTACCAAATTTAATTAAAGGGAACATAATTAACAAAAATGGATTGACACATCAGCTTTTCGCTAAATAAAATAAGAATTTAAATTAATCTCTATGATAAGAAAACTCAAGAAAATAATTTAGATCATAGGATTAGACAAATAATTCAGAAAACTAATACATTTCATTCGTCTAAATTAAACATAATATATACAGGAAGAGCGTACGATTGTCTTAATTAGTTCACACAGCCTGACGCGTTTGTATACTGTAACTGTGTGAAACTACGTATGTAACTGTTTAGCTGTACGTGTAACTGTGTAACTATGCTTGTAACGGAACCTGTAACGGTGTAACTGAACTTGTAACGGTGTTTGTAATTGTCCTGTAACTGTGTATATACGTGCAGTACAGAATGTGTTACTAAATAAATGATATAAATGTAAGTACACCTATACTATTGTTTATGAAATGATACAATATAATGAAAGAAAAATTGGCATACTATTTAACATTCTAAAATATATATACTTGTAGCTGTACCTGTTCCTATAAGCCTTAACTGAGAAAATATTTGATTCTATACTTGTACTACTGTTATCACTTCGAAGCACACGTACCTTTAGTTATATGTGTATCTAAGTTTTTGTCAACGTATCCGAATGACAAAGACAATGTACTTTAAGCGACAAAAGTTAAGGGGTCGAGGTTATTGGTAAGTAAAGGTAAGGTTGGAAGGGGAGGGAAGCAAGTGACCCCAAGATGAAAGGGCGAGGTTAACACGACTCCTCGCTCAGGGGAGAAAAACAGCTCCTTCCCCCAGTCTTTTTAGAGAGAGAGAGAGAGAAATGGCTGGCTGGCGGGCCTACACACACAACCACCCCTCCCCGACCCTCACAACCGGAGTACTAACGTGTTTAGTCACAACTGCTGACCTCTTACAACATATTAATTCAAAGCAATTGCTCTTACAACATATTACTTTTTTTTCGTTCGGTTAACACAGCCAATGACTAGTTCTTGTTCATCCTTACCGCATAACATGAACAAGTTATTATCCAGTAATAATATAAACAAGGTAAGTGGGTAGATGACCTGTGCCCGGGTGGGATATTCCCCGTAAAAGAAAAAAAAAATCTCATGGAACGTCACACACGCCTTCCCTCCTTTGGTGGCTCCGCATGCAAGGAGCCAAGTCAAGATAACGCCTCACTGCTCTTGACACATTTTATTGATCTTGTATGACCTGTCACCGTTGGTCTCAGCATATGTTAAAGTTGCCCTGAGATGTATTGAGCCTGACCATGATATTGCATTATGTGATGACGTGTTCCTCACTTCTGGTTCAAAACTATTTTTACATTCCTCACGTATAGCCTAGTGCAAGTTACGATTTTCCATTCATCTCTGTTTATTGTTAGTTGTTATGCTGATTTTCTGGCCAACGTAGGTGACAGTTAGTGGAAAATACCAGAACTTTCAGACTAAAATCGACATTACCGACGGCATTTATTATTCAGTATATGTTATGGTTTTTAATAATCAAGTCAGGCCATGTGAATATAACTCCATGGAAGAGGATGCTGCTGGAGTTCACTCAGCCTCACATAATCACCTGCAGTTGCGTAAAGATTAGTTTACCTGCTGTTGCAACATCGCATGACTACAAAAAATGTAGGTTTATGCATTGTTCACTGAAATTGTGTTCACATAAAGGAAATTAGTTCTGGTCATCGAGACATCTACTCCATCTACGTAATCATTACACAGCGAATGCTTGCGGGTGATTGCAGGACTCATGTATGTATGTGTGTGTGTGTGTTTGTGTGTGTGTGTGTGTGTGCCTTTTGTGTTTAATTTGTTATCTGTGGAGTAACTAAGGTTATCGTTTACATCAGTGTTTTGTTTCCCTGGTTCCAAGCACTTATTAGTTTATATTATTAACTTACAGAGATTATGAGCTGCGCGCGCACACAAACACTAACTCAACCCTCTCCTAAGACAAAAACTTTACTGGCGACTGAAAAAAATATTTAATTTTTTCTAACAGGAAACACCTTGAATTTTACCATCCTTTCTCTTATTACGTAACAAGATCACAGACAGGCAGATAGACAGAAAGGCAGACATTATGGCAGTCAGTCGCTCACTTTGGTGCGTTTCAGTCTGTTTGTCTGTCGTGGTGGATTTCATAAACACAAGTTACTCTTCTTTCAACTCATTACGTATTAATAAAATTCAGTTCAACAGTTCAGATTTTGAATGTAGGTTTCACTTGATTCTGTAACCTTTGTATGGCCATCTGAAAATGTGACAACCCTGATGGCACATATGTACATTGTCTGTCTCTCCTTGTTGTTTATTTTGCTCAACATTCTGAGGAGTTTAATGTAATTATTCTAGTTGGTCTGTGTTTTTTTTTGTCGCTGATATGTAGAACAAAATAATTCACAGTTTATATTATTAAAGTCTATTAAAAACGGTCATATAATATATAGTGCAAATTAAGTTCAAAGGAATGAAGTGACTAGGCTATAAAATATAAGTACGAACCATTAATAATGAATTTCAAATTGGTTGAAATGTGTGTGTGTGTGTGTGTGTGTGTGTGTGTGTGTGTGTGTTCCTGAATGGTTATGTGCATATTATTACCCATCACTACTGAAATATATAATTAACAAATGAGTCAGTTCAGCGATCTGTTGAAAATCCACCATGAAAATAAACACAACATTCCTACGGTGTATCCTAGTGGGCTCTGGATTAAACACACGTCCTCGTCATATGCTCCACCTACCCACACTTCTCCACCTAGCTCCACCTACCCACACTTCTCCACCTAGCTCCACCTACCCACACTTCTCCACCTAGCTCCACCTCATGACTCTCCAACCCACTTGTCTTGCTACTTTTACTTGACATAAAGCCGAACTAGAAAGTGGGATTTGTATTGTGATGTGCAGGGTGGAGGGAGGTATGCGTGGCTCCTCTCTTGCTGTTTCTTTGTTTTCCATGTTGTCTGTGTGTGTGTGTGTGTGTTCCATTTGAGTGTGTACAAAAAGCCTCATACCAAAAAAATCATGACAGATTAAGTAACTTAGAGTCTTTGTCTGAGGTTTCTCAACGAGCTTCTCAAAAAGCACAGTATGTGACCCATTCTGATGATCGAGGTGTTCTCATGCATGCTTATAATACTGACACAAGTTGTTAATAATACTGCTCATAAATATGATAAGTCTCTTTCATAATGTCATAGGTGAAAGTAGGTCCCATAGGCAGGACTGCTCGTTAGAGACAATAGATACAGCACACTGTATACTAAGGAGGCAACACGGCCGGTACTGCACTCGACCACATTCACTTCCCCAAGTTGTAAGCTTAAGTAGCCATTTACAACTAGGTGAACTGGGAGCGCCCGGGAATCGGCCCCCAGAATAGGAGAGGCGACCGAGCTCTGTATCTGCTCGACCGCCACGCTTCATAATGTCATGAGAACTAAGGTTAATTGTTATATTTTGTTAACTATCACAGGTCTGTATGATGACTTACGGTGAATAGTGAAAACAAGTGACTCACAGGTGCTCAAAATGATCCCATGTGATTCATAGGTGCTCAAAATGATGCCAGATATCTCACGGATGCCCATAATTACACTATATTCGCCAGTACAATAACCTAATAGAGGAAGAAGCCTATATAGATTTTGCTAGTCCCCAGGTCAAAGGTGAACGTTAGAAAGATAGCGCTAGATCACACGTTGGGATATAAACCATCTAACTAAGACAGCTGTGTGTGTCCCTGCGTCATCGTCTGTCTACTTGCCTTAGTAAAAACCCCCATATAATTTTTGTATGTTGTATGTATATATGAGTGTTATATGTGCACGTCATATATACATGTGTTAGTCTACAGAGAAAAAACAACCCTATTAACCAGAGTATACTGTATATAGATGTGAGGACTGGGAAAAGAATTACGACTTGCATTCAATTCATCTCACAACAATAATGTACTGAGAGAAAACTGAGTGATAAAACCATCAGTGTCTAGTTGAACGAGATCATCACT